CGTGATTTAGGAGACCACTCAACTGTTCCACCTCTAATACCACGAAAAATCAAGTCAAATTGGGTTAAAGATAGTCCCAGATTGTTTTTACATTTCATTTGATAAATGTTGAGCCAGTGTATTAATGAGTGTCCAAATATCAAAACGGGTATTTTATTAATGGTTGTATTTGTACATATATACTATTATATACGTAATCAAAGTTATTAAATCACTTCACTCACCGAATGACGATAGACGTAGTCCAAATCCTTACGGTTATCCCGAAGTGTCCAAATGTAGGGCGAACAATATATATTGTTAACAGTTCCCCAACATATATAAAATGTATTTATATTTGTAATATTTCCAAATATAGCAATATAAACTGATAAAGTGTGAATACTAGTATAGTATTAATAATATTATTTCATAAACTTGTATTAACACAGAAAATATATTTGAAGTGTTCTTCTGCTGTGTACGTCTCTGCTTTAAGAAATAAAGAATGTGGTCCACTCACATTCCCAAGCTCCGCCCACTAATTATAATAATGACTGTGATAATAGATAAGACGCTATGTTCATAAAAACACTTATTTGAAATAAGTGAATATTTACCTTTTCTGGTGAAAATTAGATTTCGACCCGAGAGCCCGATGTTTTTTTCAGCAAACAGTACTTAAAAAAGTCAATTTTTTGATCATCGGTTCAAATATTACCATCCACTTTTTCTAATATCGTTGACATGTATCCTCGAGGATAGACATCCATGCTTATAATAAAGATATGCAGATTTAGTCTAATTTGTTTTTGCAGGCCTACCATGCTGAACGTGCGGGTGCCATTGGAGTTATCGTGCTGGGTAAGTTCAAGACAAAGTCGTCATTAAAAGCTTGTTTCGTTCATTCTGTTTTCTTGGTTTTCTCGAAAAATTTAAAACGATGTTTCAATGTGCAGTTATAAAAATGAATTAAGATGGCATAAACCATGCATAAACCATGCGCAAATAAGCGTAAAATCTGATTCATTGAGTTTTAATTTGATTATATTCCTTTCATTTGATGGCCATGAAAATGAGCCGTACTTCGAAAGTCCATGGTACGGAATTTCTAGGAAATACATAGTTCACATATGGGGACGAACCCCCGCCCTCCACCTCCCGTCGACTTGGTGACGTGTACATTTTTTCGGGGGTACGACCAGGTATCGAATTCTGGTCGCCTTCAATTTGAAAATTAAGTATAACATTTATTTACATAATGACAATCGAAATTTATTTTTAATCGAACTTAAATTACGAAGGTGTTAAATTCGAATCTTTTATCCATGAATCGAACTTTTGAGCAATATTGCAAACCCACTAAATGTCACCACCAATCCCTACCTCCTCCCACCTCCTCCCTACCTCCTGCCTGCCATGTACCTCCCTCCTCCCGCTTCCTCCCACCTTTTCCCTACCTCTTCCTTACCACCTTCCGACCTCCTCCCACTGTCTTCCTACCTCCTCCCACCTCCTCCCTACCTCCGGCCTGCCATGTACCTCCCTCCTCCCGCTTCCTCCCACATCTTCCCTACCTCTTCCCTACCTCTTCCTTACCACCTTCCGACCTCCTTCCACTGTCTTCCTACCTCCTCCCACCGTCTTCCTACCTCCTCCCACCTCCTCCCTACCTCCGGCCTGCCATGTACCTCCCTCCTCCCGCTTCATCCCACCTCTTCCTTACCACCTTCCGACCTCCTCCCACTGTCTTCCTACCTCCTCCCACCGTCTTCCTACCTCCTCCCACCTCCACCCTACCTCCTCCCTACCTCCTCCCTGTCTCCTCCTTACCTCCTCCCACCTTCTCCCTACCTCCTCCCAATATCTCCATGAGAGTTTTGATATGAATGATTTTCTACGGAGCGTTTTTCTCGCGAAGCCATTATGTATTGTTAAAATAAATTCACTGAGTAATGAAGCTGTAAAACTAAAACGAACAAAAACTAAAACGCATTTATTTGTGCGATGCAGCGAATTAAAACTGAAAATCTGCTCGTAGTTTATCAATTTCAAAATTTGTTCGACCTGTTAGATATTACTCTGGTGTGGTCATGACCGTTTTATCTATATCACAAATACGATCGCTTGAATACACATGGCGAAGTAGCTCAGTGCAGAATGCTTGCTCTCCGCCACGGCAGCCAGTTTTCGAATCCCGGCAAAGGAACGCTGGTGGCGAACGTATCATACTAAATCAATTATTCTTAAAACCAATTAGCAAATCTTTAAATACCCTATTTGAGCTCTGATAAGAATTACCCAGTCTTTACATGATTTAGTATAGAAAATGACCCACATTGGGCAGGCGAAATATTTATAGTAGCAAAACGTTTTATCACTCCAACTTTTACATAATACTTTGTTACGTAACACATGATCCTAGCTTGAGAACGAACATTATTTTGAATGCTATGTTTAGTTAGCATCATGTATCAAGTGCCGCCCTAAACAAAAGTTATTTAAGGTTAAGTTTAAATCTAGTTGATTTATTTGTACTTATCTCATAATGTTTAAACTGCTTCTTTATTCGGTACATCAAATAGTCCATACATATTACCAAATAAAACAAAAAAATTACCAAACCGTTGCCCAATCTATCGAATGTTTTCTTTTATTGAATATAATAATCTATAAAATGTATATTCGCTAAATAATTACACTACACTTGTTCTTTGTGTTGGAATTTACATTTGATATTTATGCATGTATTTGTGCGATGCGGCGAATCAATTTGTTTTTAACGCACTTCTAGCTCAATTAATTATTTGTACATTCGGTATTTAGATTATTTATATTAAGTTTAAATAATTTAAATTCGATAAATTTCGTTAGTTTTCGATGCTTTACGAGTCTTTCAGTCACGTGATATATTTGAACGATGTAGAATAGCCGAGCGGTCATTTTGCAAAACTCGAGGTCACGTGGCAAAATTCGAAAAACAACGAAAGTTATCGAATATTCGGTAAATAGCAAATTAGCTTTCGGTAAAATAGATTAACTATGTTATAGAAAAACAAATTTCGGAAGTGTTCAAATAGAAATCACTATTGTGCATATAATGTGTTACTCTAAGTAATACCATAACAATTTACAATGATAGCAATTAGCGAATAAAATATTATGTAATTTAATGCACATAGTATTAAGTGATTTAATCCATTGGCTATTTTAAGAAATTAATTAGCTGTAAGAAATATACGAGGGGTGATCAATAAATGGACGCTTTTTTACACAGATACTTTTTATTGACCAATCCCTTTGATTTTCTTATCAGTGATACATCATTCAATTATCTATCAATTTTGAAGATTTGAAGACAAAATATATAAGACATGTTGATATATCCTTATTTCCGTGAAGGAGGTACAGGTACCCCGGGACCGACATTTACGTCACATATTCAGTTTTTAGCCAGTTCGGTAAATTTGAGTTAGATTTGAAATTTTTATATGTAAGAAGTGTTGTATTGTTTTAATTTTTTTGCTGACTTGTTACACATAAACAGAAAGTATTGTAATATCAGAGTGTTGTATGGAAGGGGTTTGCAGGTCAATTTGAGAACGCATTTCGGAAGAAAGGGGTGAGGAGAGAAGGGAACACCCTACTCCATATGGACAATGCACCTGCCCACAGATCTCAATGTTCAGAAAACAATATCCCTTGACCTCAAAATTGAGCCCTTGGCTAATGCACCATATTGTCCACATCTGCTCACATGTGACTTGTTTATTTCTATACTACTTGTTTCTATAGAGAAAGGACGCAGGTTTATTAACATTGATTAAATAAAACAACCCATGCAACTGTATCTTGATACCATGTCAGAGAATGGATTCAGCCTTGTCAATCTCTAGTTAAGAGGATGAGGAATTGTGTACATGTAGCGCTTGGTGGAACCTATTTAGAGGGCCCTGTTGAATGAATGTGGCATGAATACCACATAGTGATGATAAAATATTCAAAATCAACTATGGCATAACAAAATGGGGTAATTCATGACCATAATGGTTTGTTTTGCTCAGCCTGCATTAAACTGCAGCATGTTAAACAAGCTAAAATAGCTTCAGAATATGTGACGTAAATGTCGGCCCCGGGGTACCCGTACCTCCTTCATGGAAATGAGGATATATCAACATGTATTATATATTTTGTCTCCAAATCTTCAGAGTTGATAGATAATTGAATGATGTATCACTGGTAAGAAAATCGAAGGGATTGGTCTATAAAAAGCATCTGTGTAAAAAGCGTCCATTACTTATTGATCACTCCTCGTATAAACGTTTTACCGAATGGAAATTGATTAAACGAATATAAATATTCTATATATAGAATGTATTTGAATTTCATGAATAAAGAAGCAAAAATAATTCCATATTATAATCTACTGATAGAAATAAATTTGTTATTTAACTATTCTGAATTTGCTATTTATAATTAATCGTTCAGGTTTCTGGCAGCTATCATCGACTCAGATCCCCCTCCAGCTGCCCCCTATCTCTCTCTGTTTATTTTTCCAACCACCAAAACAATTTGATATTTAGAGGTTATGTCACTATCGTGGCATATATGCCCGAGGTCTCAGTGATGTATGGCCCGACCTTGGGAGGGACATTGATCTCTGAGAACCGAGGGCATATGTGCCACGATAGTGACATAAACGATTTATAACATACCTATGATGATGTAGACTGGTCAGAGAGTACCGTTTTCTTATAGAATTGACGAACAAATGGTTTCAAAATGATTGAAATGAGTTTAGAAAAATTGCTTGCGCAGTTTTATCTTCAATTGATTGGTTATGACGTCAGCGCCTTGACCAATCAGAAAGTTAGCGGGCGCGGGCTTTTCAAAAGTTATATTGGCCCGCTGTCTTGTGTACACTTTGCACTATACATCATCATAGGTATGTTATAATTTCTACTATTCCCTGTTTATTATTGTTAGATAATATAAATACAAGACAAGGGGACGTCTATACGATGGCAAATGACGCTTGTCTCTCCGAATCTGACGTCACGATTCCTGCAGTATCTCTATCGCTCAACGATGCGGCAACTTTGAGCAACCATATGGTAGCGAATCCCGATCTTAGGGGCAGAATTGCATCGAGAGGTCAGTGTAGAGATATTACAGTTCCAATGAGCATCTTAATGTGACATTTTGTGCTTTAGCGCGAACAGATTCCTATCTTAGTCTCTCAAAGGAAGTCGGGTTATTACCTAAAAATTAATTCCTTAAATATTTTTTAGGCAATGCCGTAGGTGCGAGCTGCTCGTCATCTACAAGTTGTAGGGGATACCGTGTTGCAGTTGATTGTTCATCTGATGTATGTACCTGTAATGAACCATGGTTTGTCCCAGAAGGAAGTGGCTGTAAAAGAGGTAGGCACATAGTTTGATTAATCATACTTTTTAATATAATGTCGATATTCTTATTTGGAAAACTGCATAGATATTGGTATACTTTGCATTTTAGATATGTCAATTTCCTTGGCTTCGTTTTGGAATTTACGCCGTTGTTTGGTTGCTCCGATAGGCTCGACATGCCTTCCTGCAAATGAGAGATGTGTCGGATTCCCCAATTCCCAATGCATTAACGGAGTGTGTAAATCCGGTAACTACATAATATACTCTCTAGTATTAGTATATATAGACTGAACTATCAATGTTCGATTAAGATGGATTGCTAAAGTTATAAAAGACAACATTTCTAAATATGTTTTCCTGATTTGAAATACATGCTACATCGAAATTGGCCAACTTTTACGTGAATAGGCTGAAGCAATAGAGAGTTTGAGCTTGCGTTGATTTTCACTACGTAACCGTGAACGGAAGGTAAATGAATCAGTGAAGGAATGTGTCTAGCGCGCATAGTTAACTGTAATTTTGCGCTAAAGTCTACTTCACATACCCATTCAGCTTCAGAGTGCCGTGTTTAAATAGAATGCGAAATTTGAAATTAGTGTCAACGGGGATCATCATACGTGTTTCTTTTTGAATACTATCCTAGCGATTTTGTACAGTATGATGCTTTCTGAGAATATGATGTACGTCATGCATGTTTTAGCTCCAAATATCTTACAAAACGAGCTTAATTCACATCATGATGTTCCAAAAGTAACAGGTCTGGTGCTTGCATTTTGTAAATTCTGCACCAAGTGTCTTCCGTTTTTAAAAAAATTATACTTTGTAGCATTGCAACGAAAATTCTAAAGTTTTAGAAAATATGATACAATGCGGGTAGAGTTATTGTTACTATATTAACATGACATCACAATACCCGGGGCAACTTTTTTATGAAAATGTTATATCTAACATTTTTATATAACTGAAGAAAGCATCAAATTCACCTATTACAATACAACGTTTCTTGTTTTGTTTTTTTGTTGCTTTGTCGTAATGGTACCTGCTATAAAACTCAAGTTAAAGTAAGATTTCATAGTTATATTTTATTTATTTAATTTCCTGAACTATCACTATGTAGTGGTGGCTTTAAGTTGCTAGGCGCAGGATATGATATACGTCACATAAAATAGATCATCTTAGGTTTAAACATGTTTATTGTGATCACAAACACAGACAGCCAGACATAGACACAGAGAGACAGCCTGTAAAAGTACAAATTACTACATTTTGGGTATGGATAAAATTACCAATGCAGAAATAGAATACGTAACATATCATCCCTGAATCAACACACAATTACATAAAAATGGTAATAAATAGCTTTGATATTTGGCATTGAACATTGTACATATGCGCATTTCAAACAACAATGTGCATTCCAATGACCATCTACATTATGTAGAGTAAGCTAAAAAATATATACCATTATAGATTACATAAATGACCAAATGTATCCTGTGAATACAACAGAAGCAATTACGCTTATATGAGCAAATGAGAAAAACGATATAAATGCAATCTTCACAGTGAAATGCATATTCTCTAAAATATATGTGCTTACCTTATGGGCTAACTGTATAAAGCTGTGGTTGATTGGATTTTGTATGTATCTGCTATAACAGTGTTGCCTTGAATAAAGTAATACCCAAAATGTAAATGTCTGTTTACAAAATATAGATTTTGTTCACAAAGTTGACAAGTTTCTAAAATTACAATTTTAAGTTCATATTTCTAAAACATCTAATAATTTATATGTACAGTAGTTGAACCTTATAATATCTTCTCAATGAATATGAATGTGATTAATCTCTAGGGCTATTATATCTATTAGAAATATTACAAAATATGGGATAATTTCTTACCAAGTCTTTCTTCATTATGTGTTTATCCAATCAACAAATCTGTTTGGTTGAAAAATAAAAAGGTCGGAAAAAAGTATGCCAAATTATTAGGGAGCATACATTATTACATAATAATTAATGGGAGCAATTGGCAAAAAAGGTACGCCAAATTATTAGGGAGCATACAATATTGCAAAGTTAATGAGAGCAATTGATGCTTGAAAATGAACAGTTAAATACCCTATTTACAACTCTGTATACCAGTCTGCACAATTCGAGGTTGAGTCTTTGAAAATACCCATATTTAAGCCAGTCGTCCAACTTGATAACGCCCCTGCACGCAAGTCAGCATTAAAGACCACTGCAGCTATAGAGAAATAAGGTATTGAGGTGTAAAACCATGCACCATACATTTTTGGTCATGCAATATCTAATTTGTCTGAGAAAACCAGCTTTAAAACGTTCAATGGCATGTAACATGCTCCTGTGTAGTCTAAGCAAACACTGAAGTTGAGCGGTTATTAAGAGGGTTACGATAAGCGTTCCGTATAAAAATAAAATGGCGGCTCCAGGCTAGTCTACTGGATCAGTTTATTTCTGGAAATTAGATAAGTTTTATAAATTCCAGTTTAGTGTAATCGTCTGGAAGATAAAATAATTGGTTTACAATGATTCTGTAAACATAGGGAGAATGATGCATGTACACCACCCAATATAAATCCTTGAACTAATCCAAACTGCCTTGTTTTATAGTAGCCTAGACAAAATTGTTGAAGGGTCACTTTTTCTTTAATAACTTTTTTAATTTTCAGCATCATCAAAATCTGATTACATATTTAAAATCTGGAGTGAAATGCTGACACACAAATAAAAGATTAACGGAACATCTTTTGATTTATTGGTATTATAGGCATTCATAGTATGAGTGACGCAAAAACATAATTCACCATTTTGTCTCATATTTGTTCAAATATGGTGGCATGTTTTGTGGATTTAAATGTTCGAGTTGAAAGTTAATATTTAAGAAATGTCATAGGCCTACGAAGTCATGTAGACTGCTGCTTTGGTATGAGGTAAAAACTGCATTTTAAACCTTTCATTTTGAGTTGATGTGTATGTATACCAGTAATAAAAAGGCTCGTACATTGTATGTACAGTATATTGGTAAGGTCGCAGGACTCAAACCGGTGCAACTATAGGGTCATTCTGCAAGAGTCTTTCCCAGTCACACGCCTCGTAACCCATCCTTGGCATGCATTTGAATTGTTGTTTGGAGTTCCTGATAGGATTGAGGACCTACTCTGAACCACCATTTAATTCGAAAACGATATACATTTGTTAATGGGCGATTGATACGTATACGTTGTCATTTCGATGTTCAGTTCAGTTCAGTTAAGTATCTTTATTTTTTCCACATAAGTTAGGATTTAAACATTATCCATGGTCAGAGCAATACCAGGTATACAGGGTGTCTCAAAAAATGTTCCCAAAACTCTATCAAGAGCACAGATAAACCAATCAATATTTTCAGATATTTTTGCATGGTCATGTAGCCAAAAACATGAAAGTTTTCTCCCAAATATACCATTTTTATTTCAGTCTTGTCTTTTTGATGCTTAACTATTTACCTTTTACACCACATAATCGATGTAACCTCGTATTTCGATGAAAGTCTGTACCCTTACTGCTACATTGTTCATCACATTTGATAATACTTCCAGTGAAATGTTTTGGATTTCTCTTTGGATGTTGCCTTTAAGTTGTTCTAGGTCTTTTTGCTTGGAATAAGCATTAAAGCACTCCTTCAAATAGCCACAGAGAATGATGTTTGAGGAAGACGATGGCAGAACAAACACAGATAATCAGGTCAATTATCGGCAAATGATCCAGAGTTAGGCAGGTTGGCCTGGAGACCAACTGATATCCAAATGAAAACAAAGTGGTCTCAAATTGATACACACAGCAAAGGCTACATTAGAATCCCAACCAATGCAGTTTCTTGAACCTGAATTAAGAACTGTGTATAGGGGAAAAAACTTTCATCTTTTATCTACAAGATCATGCAAAAAGTGTCTGAAAATATTGATTAGTTTGTCTTTGCTGTTGATATACTTTTGAGTACATTTTTAGACACCCTATATAATAGCAAGTGATAAATCACATATTTGGAAAGGAATGATATCAGTGATGATATTGGAATGAGGTTTGATATCGATATCATCCCGCTTATTCTGATACCATCCAGTTCAGGGAAAACGTTTTAGACTTCGTTTCATTATTTTCACATTCACATCATTTATCAGTTAAATTACTAATATCCAACGACATGTTTATGTTTTGACAGTAATAATATGAAATTCAAGTAACGTCAATGTTTCCAAAATTAATCTTTATTGTTTTTTTCATCAAACAGATGACTTTTGAGGTAGATATATATAAGTTATTTACTGGGATGGATTGAATATGGGTTTTATTCCGAGGGACAATATGATATTGACCGAAGGGTAATATGATATTGACCGAGGGAGCACAGCTACATGCATTGCTATGAAACAGCTACATGCATTTATAAATGGGCGATTGATATGTATACGTACATACATACATGGAGTTTAAGTGTTATATACAAGCTTAAACTCTCTAGTGTCAAATTCGATCTAAATTATATTGACTAATGGCTGATGTCTGACTCATTTTTCTCCGATTTATATCGGCCGGCGCCCAGCCGATTGAGCATTTTGTCCTGTTATATTTATTTCCTTGTTTCATTTAGGAGTATGCTACAATATCAATTGTGACTTCGTTTGGACTTGCAAGCAAACGTTTCCTACAGTATCACCCGTTTGTCTCTCAACCAGGGATGCAAGTGGATGTTGCGAGGGCTGTGCGGAGGGTGAGTAATAGCAAAACTCAAAATACGTTTTCTGAAATATTCAGCTATAAATAGTATCCCGGATAGAATTGTCCAAGGGTCACTTTTTCTTGAATAACTTTTTTAATTTTCAGTATTATCAAAATCTGATTATATATTTGAAACTAGAGTAAAATTCTGACATACAAAAAAATATTAAGGAACAACTCTAAATGTATTAATATTATAGGCGTTCATATAATGAGTGACGCAAATACCTTTCACACCATTTTGTCTCACATTTGTTCAAATATGGCAGCATGTATTGTGAATTTGAATGATCAGTTGAAAGTTGATATTTAAACATATGAAGTCATGTAGACTGCTGTTTTTGGTATAAGGTAATGATTACATTCAAAATCTCTTTTGAAAAAGTTCAAACATTTTGTATGTACAGTATGGTATGGTTGACTGTCTTTTGCTTTCCATTGTTACCCGTATTGGATTAGCAGCTTTAGTTTGTTTAACCCATGGAACTATACGGCCATACTGCTACTATAATGTGGGGAGCCACTTTTTCATATAACTCTCAAAATATTCAAAGTCAACAAATATGAGGCAAAATGGTGAATTATTTTTTGCGTCATTCAAACAAGGGCGAACGTAATACCCGGATCGTTCGCAAATTGGCGTTCGGTTTTTTACCGCATCTGATTTGAATTAGCCAATAAATGATCTTATACACCATTGTCTAATGAAGACCAAACAAAGCCCCGGATGTCGTGTCGTTTCTCGTTTCGTTTGGTACACAACTATGCCCCGGGTATTAAATAAGCCCTTGATTCAAACTTACACGTCGCACGAAACTGGGGACAATTAGCGTAACATTATGGCGTCAAAAAACCAAACCAAAACAATGAGCAGTATAGGGCGCAAACAGCCTTACAACGTCAAAAACGACAAGCGTCACATTTTTTCCAAGTTTAGTCATCGTAAAAATAAAATACTTTAACCTTATCTAATCATGACAAAATTCACAGGGAAGCAAGATCTCGAGAAAAATATATCGAAAATGTTTTTGAATTTTGAAAAACGGTCAAGAAATCCACTTGGGGCGTTAGTAAAAACAAATATGTATGGAATCTGGGGTAAAAATAGATGCGTCACAATTTTTCAAGTCTCGAAAACATACTGGTTATGGTTTTGTAAATTTCGCCATGTCAATATTGTGCAGTTAATTTCATTTTCGAATGAGACCTAAATTAGAAGGTTAAATGAAGGTAAACTTATTGTTCGTCCCATTCGCATTCCAAACTTTACAGAATTTTGAAAATTTTAAAAGCGTCGTATGTAAGATAATTTGAATTGTAGCCGTTAAGCAATGGTGATGTCATAAATGTACATGTTCCATTGAATAAATTGTGAAATTATCCCAATTTCAACGAGCCCTGTAAGCGTAAAATGTTACGTCTTGCAGTGTTTTTGACGATTTCGGGGTATATTTAACTTTGAAACTATGTTGGATCCCATCAAATTAATGAAATGACTGACATGCGAATATAAGATACTTCAAAATGATATAAAACACATAGTTAGCTTTTTTAAATAAGGCTGGGATTAACGCACAAAGCTGAGATCAGCCTGTTTTTCCAAATTGTCCCCAGGTCCGTGCACGTCATAACTTTAAACACCTATAATATGATACATTAAAGTGCGTTCCTTAAATAATTTTTGTGGATGTCAGAATTTTACTCTAGAATGCACGATGCATTGTAATTTTGACCTAACCCGACAATCGGGTAGGCCATTCTAAAAAAATGTCAGACAACTCCAAATCGACCTACAATTTGCAGATCGGCTGACGTATAAGTCGATCCCTGGATTCATTAATTGTAAAAAAATATAAAATAGTTTGCATTTTATTTTGAATTATTTTAAATCATTTTTGTCTTATATCTGTAGGTCTTATTGATGCCAGTGACAGTTTTGTTGCCACATATAATGACGCGAGAACTATTCTAGATAGAATTGCAACATTTACTCCTACTGAACAAGGACTTATCAACAGCTTGTTTGTTGGTCCTCTTAATTCTACCAAAGATGCATTTTTACTCTCAAACATGGTGGCATTATTTGACATGCTATTCGATGATGGTTTAGACCCTTGTACATTTGGAAAGGGTGTTGCAACCGGGGTATGGAATATTCATGATACTGCCGTGTCATTGTTGGCCTTGCTAGATGATCCCACACACCCTCCATTGAATGATCCGGAAGATCGAAAAAGAATCGATGAATATCGAAAGAAAATGTTGTGGATCAAAAATTGCATGCTTCCAAAATGTAGGAAATCTTCTATCTAATATTTACCTCTGCAATTTTTTTGTTTTGCCAAATACCCTTTTTATTTTAGGCTCCATGTCAATCGACAGTCCATTGCATGGTTCCTTAAAAATATATTTCGAAGTCGGTTCAAATATAAAGTATTCAAATGTACAGGTTACATACAGACCAAAATCACCTGAATATATTTTCTTCATATTTAGCCCCTAGCAAACACAACAAACTATCACTGTCTCATGTATGCTTATCACTGTATAGTATGGAAATTCATATTATAACCATTTCACAACTTAACCTGAACCTTAAATATCGATCTCGACTTCCCAAACTGTTACCATGAAATGATAGGTTTATTGTGCATAGCATATGCTAATATTTCAATTTATTAAATAGTTCTTGAGCGCAAAGGCTTAAAGTGCTTCAAAGACGATGACTGCAGTGGCGGTGTCTGTAAGGATGATTGCTCAGCTTGTGTACAGTGTAGAACTAATAATGACTGCACCGACCCGATTAAGCCAAACTGTATAAACAACGGAGCGGGTATAATGGTCTGTGGGGACCCTCATATCTCTCAGACTATCCCGGGTGCGGATCACAGACGACTTTGCTATGACTTTGTTGGGAAACCTGGATCAGAGTACCTCTTCCTTAGGGATCATGAGATTGGTAGGAATACTATATTTTAGACAGATACGGATAATGCATTTTCATCATATCGATCACTATGCTGGTAAGAACAATATGCGTCCCAATTATTAAAAAAATAAATAAAGTACATAGCCACTGTGAGATAATGAACATTTCAGAAAGTGATACTGCCAAAGAACTTTCAAATGATAAAAATAATTTTCCATTAAGATTTTGACATAAATACACGCACTGTATAAAATAACGAATATTGCTTGCAAATAACGAGCAATTCTAGTGGTTATTTGCTTCAAATTGCATGTTATAACCAGTAATCATCACTGACAGAACGCAGACAATAACTGCATATATGGAACACACATATATGCAGCTGCATATAACAAACATCCACGGAGAATACTGACTGCATATACGGGTACTGTCACTGAGTATGTTTGCTTATATTCAGACATACTTTGCATATTTGCTGTTTACTTGTGATTATATGCAGCGCTGAAACTGCATATACCTGCTTAATTGGGATAGACAAATATAAGCAGTTGAGTATACTAGATATATATAGAAATTGAAACTAGTTATATTTGCATATGATATGCATATATGCCACTTTTCATGAGTATTCCTGCATATTTTGATATAAGTAACATGCAGCATGTGAGTATATTGAGACATGCACAAGAATATAAACTAACTACATTAGCATAATATGGAGTCAAGATCGGTATATTTAACATATTCTTGCTTATTTAGGAGGACTGGTAGACGCTGTTTTGTGAATTGGGCATAAACATCTGTTAATTTAAATTCCTATTTATGAGTATTTGAGTGTTGTAGCTATAGGTTTGGTTTACTGTACTTGTTTTTTGGGGTAAGAGATTTGAAAAAATTGCACATAAACAGCTTTTACGTTTTTCATAATTTATTTTAAATTTCTTTAGATTTCTATGTACAGAGTAGGCCAATGAGACGACCTCTACAAGTAATAACTTCAAATAGATTATACATGTCATGATATACATGTAGGGAAAAAATCATTGTTACAACTTATTAGCCCCGTGAAATAATATCGCTTGAAGATGGGAATGTTTTGATCCACCTTTCATATCGCTTGATACATATATAGACATATTTACATTGCACTGTAATTATGTTTCTTCCTTTAAATGATACATAATTATTGTAGTCAAAAATATGAATGCCTATTTCAAATCATAGAAAATTATATTTTCTCTCGAGTGATAAGCCTAATAATGATTTTACTTTTAAATGGATTTACTCATTATGTTTTGGCCAAACCTGTATACTGCTAAATGAATATATTTACATTGCATTGTACATGATGTAACATTATATTTCTATCTTTAAAATGGTGCGACCTAATGCTCCAAATCAATGTATGCATATTGCTCAATCTTGAAAACTGTGTTTTTTTGTAGCAAGATATGGCCTGTCTTCCAGTAGCAAATTCTCGTACGATATCGAATTCTGCTTTCTCCATTCAAACTCCTTTCTCCTTCATCCTAGTGTCTTCTACACGTTTCTCAATATCTATGTAAATTCGGCTATCACAGGATTTCTATTTTGCGGGAAATTTGACACTGCACACAAAGCCACTGCTCTGAAGACACTCCTCTGAAGATACAAAGACACTGCTGTGTATTTTATTCAATGATACAAAGACATTAGTTTATAGCATACTGTTCAGCCATACAGTATCATGGACCTTCCAAGACAATCAATTTATTAAATTATCAAGATCAATGCCAAATCTTATGTTTACAACAATTTGCCAGGTGTCTTTATTGTGTTTTTTTTCATTATCAAACTCAATCATCTATCCATTAAGGGAAATAAAAAGCAAGCTAAAGTTTCACTTACGAGAGGCTTCGTCGTGTTCCTGGGTCTGGCGTGGAGCAAATGGCTGACTGGCTAAATTGCGCCATGGGCTTCTAATCAAAAGCCTATGATTGCGCCAATGTGTAGACATTCTCACAGTATGGCTTTATGATTATTTACTAATCAACAGACATTGGTCATTTGGCAAGCTTAATGTTTCCCTGTCAACCACCTGTGTGCGTGTCACATACGATTATTACTTGCGCATCATAGCTCGGAGACATGCAGCTGCTATTGAACAGTCATAATGCTGTTTTGATGAACCCATGATTTGACATCTCTAATAAGTAATCTAAACATAAACAATTACTAATTACCTGACACAATTGCACATAGTGGCCGGATGTTTGGAGAAGCACCTTGATAGTTGAAACCAGGAATTGTTTTGAATGGTATTTGTGATTTGTAAATAATTACCTTTTCATTCTTAGCATTCAAAATACAAACTAATAATTCATTTTATAATGTATTCAGTTTTAATTTCAAATAATAAGCTTATTCATAGTAAATCTGAATGACATTCTGATGATTTAAGAATTGTATTAATCTTGCGTCAAGATCCTTGACCCCCTCCCGACATAATACATGTATACCTTTAATAATCTGCAATCAAGAGATTGATAGACATAATCTAATCAGATAAATGGCTTATCTAGTTGTAAACAATTTGTTCGAACCCTTATTCTATATTTGTGTAGGCCTTGGTGTATATTATCTATATGGGGATTCAGCAAGGGATTATTGGGTCAAATGTATTTTCCTCGCTAATGCCTGGGTGACATTTGCCGCGATTCATCGGCCGCCGATTGGGTATTTTGTTCCAAACTGAAATATGTGTTGCAATCAAATGTTTCGAAAGCCATTCACCATGATTTAAGTAAAACATATTGTTAAGTTCTTTTCAGACATTCAATCAATTTAAATCAATCAAGTTTGAATGCGATTACATACATGTATTTGCAGATGTAGTGTATTTTACTCACATTTTCACATAATAAGAGCTGTCATTTGACATGTAATACTGAGTTTTCAATATTTTGATACATTTGTTTATTATTTTGCGATAATTAAAGCTTTAATCGGGGATAGAGATTTCGACAAAGTACACGTACATTTAGTACACCATAATCCCGGGATCATAATTTACTAGGAACCCAGATGCTAGAGGAAGCAGAAGATAAACTCACATCAAATACACTAAATGAAATTATTGAAAATGTAATTGGTATTAAAATTCTCAATATTTTATTTCAACAAATGCCTTGATCTCAGATATTACTTTCCCATGGATTTAAAAATCATCCCAGAACTAATTATAGGTAACACCATTGTGCACAAGCCGTCTGATTGCATAACTCGCTAAAATAACATCCTTAGCAGTGAACAATCCAAACATCTGATAATAATGTAGCTAAAGTCCCCCCTCCCGGTATCCATGCCCACCTTGTTCAGTTGTATCCTTAAAATGTTGAACTACCTTTTGCATTCCTTCAGAGATAATCGGTTAATTTCTGAATTTAACAGAAATTTAATTATACAATGTAGCACGGGGATTTAGAACAACTGGCTATAGAAATTAATCCATTTAACTATAACAAACGGATTAATATCAGTGAGAACTTAACTCATTTGCAAGAATTGAATAATTAGGGATTAAAGTTTTGTGAATGTATTTGGGAATGGTAAACAAAGCGAGGTCCAATTCAAAATAGAAACAATGGTATCTCTGATCAGGTTTTGTCTCTTCATTCTCATATTATCAAGTTATCAAAAAATGATATTTTGATTCACAAAACTGCACCGAAACATTGAAAAGTACACGAAGGCAACCGCATTTGCAATCTATAGTTCTCAAAAAGCAGGGTTATTAAAAGCCAGTTTCAAACTGAAGTTAATTAAAAGCCGGTTTTTGAAACCCAGTTCCTAAAATTCAAATTAGAACACTATCTTTCTTTTATATTTAAACTTAAATCAATTTATTATAAACAAACTATCCCGGGCAAACTATGACCAAGTGGGGACCAAGTGCATCGGGAATACAAAACTCCTGGAAATGAGTTATATAAGACAATGAAATCAACACTGATTGAAACATAAACACTATAAAACCTTCTTTCGATTCCATTACCTGTCATATTTTTTTCTAAATACCGGCTTTACCGGGAGGAATTTAACATGGGCCTTAATTCAAAGGCAAGAATCACTTATTAAGCGGATTAAAAGATGTTGGACGTCGCTCCAGTGATTTATATTTTATGGTTCTGAATTGATGTGCAGATTTTAAATGCAATCGAAAACATGACCAAAAGAGTCTAGACTACCATTTGCTTTGATCATGGGGCATGGAAAACAAAGCAGCGATTTGAAAAAGTAAACAATTGAATTCCTATGCATAATCCATGATTTAATACGAACGGTGGTAACAGGTTGTTAAATTATAATACATTCTCAGGAAGAATTAGGTTGCATTGACTCTAAAAGTAGAGATAACAAGTTCAGCGGTGTAGCCAGCTTTCCGTCGGGGGGGGGGGCGATCTCCATTAAAAACATGGGTTTGCACAAGTATTCTTTATTAGCAACTTATTGATAACTACAAGGAAGATCTCTCTTTTCCGGTGTGACTTAAAAGGTGTCGAAAAATCACAATTATAGTAAAAATAGATTATTTCGAAATCCATCCTGTAGTCGCTTATTATACACAGGTAAAGTCATATCATAAAGAACTACGGTACTTACATTCTTTTGTTGTGTTGTTTTATCATGCTTAATAGAAAAATACGCACAAATAGTCCGTTATTTATTTGTATGCTCAGTTATAAAATGAGCAGAGCAACTTAGAAATAGCTTAATATAGTCAGAAAGAGGCAATTATAATGTGTGACTATATTGCACACTTACAGAGTATTGCGTTTGCATATATTTGAGTATTCTTAACTCCACGTATAATCAGTGCTTATTTGTGCTGTTCTACAAATAAAGAGGAGCAATACTTGAATATACAGAGTGTTCCATATATGCAGCGAGTATTGTCTCTGTACTGTCTCTGTTTATATGTGCTGAGTATTTTTGCTGATTACTGCACATTACAAGAGATTCTTACAAATAGACACTGCTTATAACAAAGCAATATTCTCTATTTCATACAGTGACGGTTCTACGTTTTCCTAAGAAATCATATCATAAGAATGGTTTGTGTACTACAATTATTATCTTTAAGAACAATGACAGCCTGGAAAATTTTAAGTATAATTGAGCGTGAAGTATCAACTTTAAACATTGTATTTTACCTTTTATGTATACTGTTATTTTATCTTTATATGCAGACTTTTGCACATTTTTATCTTAAATGTTTTAATTGCTCCGATTACATTTTCTAGAATATAATTTTGACAAACTAATTCCAGATATCAAAGCAACGTTCGTAGAAGATGAGGACGTCAACCATGGTGTCTTCGTTGATTACGTCGGTAATATTGTTGTGGCCAGAAAGGGTATCTCTGTGTCGATATCCCCTGATAAAGTGGTAGTAGAAACATCAAAAGGGGAAACTAATTACAGCTGGAAGGATGAAAGTGTTGAACTTGATGGCGCATGGATGACAGTCAAAAGAAAGCAAATACAAATTTTCATCAATAATGGCGAAACTACACTTGTAGTCACACGTAAAGGACGCGCGAAGGGCTCGCCATTTCTTAACTTTGGTGTTACAGAAAAGACGGGTTTATCAGGATACGCCGGTGGAATAATGGGTACGTTAAAATGAAGTCATTAATCGCCCGTCGTGAATTATCCTAAAGTTACTACATAGACCTTTATTTCAAAATTTTTGAGGATAGACTTCAATGATTCCCCAGTCACTCTTCATCTACAATCTACGGCAATCGTACGATGACCATATTTTTCCAAAATCGAATTTAAAGGGATCAGTACGATGTCGATTTTCAATATCGATTTTCTGAAGCTACGACCGCTGTAGAGCAAATGTGACTCAACCGGTTTAAATGTTCATGACATCATTCATTGATTCTTCATTATTTCTATTTTGATTTACATCGACGTGAATTTTCTAGGATGGATTGGTAACGAAGCTATTTTTAATGATGAAGGCTCCGATTCTGGTCACGTAACGTTTGGCAACATCACGATCCCTGTGCACGACAGCAGAGATGGCTGCCTGAGAATTGATGAAGAATATTTGAACAAATTCAGCTCTATTCTCCAGATGTTCGAAATAGAATAATTTGGACAGTAATAATCAAACAATAATGTAGCTGTTCCGTTTTGAGGAAACTGTCTTCAATGTACTATGTATATGATGACAGCATTGATTTCATCAAAAGGAAAGCATACATTGTTTCAAAATGTTTCTTGTTTAATATGGATTTAATTTAAGGAGTTTTGAACAGTTGATTTTCTAAAATTTTAAGTATGACATCGATTATCGAAAATTTTAAAATTGGGGTATCCGAAATAAAATTATGTTGCATCTCATTCTGTTTAGTTAGTTTTTGTCACAAATTAAATTTTATTTCGTTTTTAAGTCTGTGACGGATGTGTTTCGTGTTTGTACCTTCCCAATGAACAAAATTATATAGCTTACACGTCAAGGTCAAAAGTAGGACTGCAAATGGACAAAAGAACCAATGAAACGTTGGTAACAGTATCTGCAGAATTAATAGTACAATAACGTCATTTCAAAGGGCAATATAGTGAAATATTGGACCAAGGAAGGGCCGCAGGCCCAAGGTCCAATATTTCACTATTTTGCCCGCAGAAATCACGTTATTACTATTATTACCACCGTTAATGACCAGGACTGAAATAGCAAATTTGAAATAGAAAATCTCACGCACTGAACGATATCACTTTTCCCGGGAAACATAGCCGGGTGGATAATGTCATTATTGCCCGACAAAAGTCATTAACGCCCGACACAATATTGCTCACGTCAATTATAAAAGTAATTTCAATGCATTCTCAACTAATACTAAAAACCCTAGAACAGACCCTGCAAGGTGGTAATAATGTGAATTATTAATGCAGACATTTTTCCATTTAAATTGAAATACTATTGTTGTGACATCTGACTCATTCTTTGCCTCGCCTGTTACATATGCCCAACTTCTGTTACCTAGTCTATTGCTAAAGCTTGACCTCATATAGAAGACCACGAATAACTATTGTTTAAAACGAGTATAATCATTTTATTCTACAAAATATGATAACAAGTTAAATATAATAGGGTTTCCACTCATACCGTTTGTACATATTGTAACAAACCTTGTCAACACATGGTTTCTATGTTATTTGTATGAATAAACAGAATATATGTCATTATGACATTAGTTTTCACACTAGTTTCCCCTGATTTCGAAATGCTGATGAATCCCTTCAATTTGTAACTGGATTAAATGACCCAATTCGCTCTTATATAGAATTTAATCAAATAATTAAATCAGTTTACACTCGTACATTTGTCGTATGGCGACATCTTGATAATTTAGTTGACTCTGTGGATTTCAGATAGAGTATGCATTTTATTCAGCCAGGGGAATGGTCTACAGGTTAATATTCGGACATACATAACCACTCTACTATACCTTACATCTGGTATTTATGAGCATGATAATGTTATTTGTTTCTTTGTGTCCGTTCCTTGTTAGTGGTTTATTGGATGACTTTTAGATGTTAAAAGGGTACTTTCAATAATGTACTAAACAATACAATTGGAAAAACAAAATATCATTTCTAGGGGTTAGGTATAGTAGAGTGAAAATGCCTGACTCATTCACTCTACTTTATCTCACCCCTAGAAATGCATTAATATGTCGTAAAGCGTCATTTATCGTCATTCGGCGTCACTGATATTTAATACAGAACACTTGTCAAACAAGCTTTTCCTAGAGGTGTTTATTTATATCTATAATTTAAAAATACATCACCATTGTCGTAAGGGTTACACTGGTATATCCTTAATCCCCCTTATAACATGCTTTTTTCATTATATTTTCTTGTTTTCAACATAAAAAAAACTTCATTAGACATTCAGTTTTACATATGGATTTATCATTTGTTGTAGTCTTGTTGTAAACTGCTAGTTTACAACACATTGTATTTTAATGTGTTGTAAGAGTAGTTTACATGCTTTAATATTTGTTTTTTTATATTAACATATCTTTATGTAAGCAGTTGTTTAAATGCATCAAAGACTGACAAATAATATTCAGTACAGAATGTTTCAATGGATTGTCAAAGATAAGTGTATCACATCACCCATCTACTTGCCAAAGAAGGAGTCCAAAACCAACCTCGTTCAGTGTTAATTTTGCGATTGTGCTGACTGAACATTTTATTTTCACGGAAATTAATTCAATCTGAAGTTTGAATATACCGGGAAAATAACCCGTTATCTGATTCGTCGTTGGATTTGTTTATCATGAACTTAATTGGCAGCCTGGATTGGCAGCGTGGATTCCCCTCGCTAGCCGAGGAATCGATTGTGTGTAATTCTGGAAATTGGTTGTTCTATTGATTATTTCAATAGATCGGCAAAAATATACCCATAATTCATTCTCGAGATATATCCATGGTATGTGTGATATCATATGAGCAAGAATAATGGAATATCATTGATTGTCTAGGCGAAAAACCTATGGTATAATGCATCTTTAAGAAATCAGAAATATCAACTAATTCTTTTTCAGCAATTTTATTTGGCTAATTTATATTACTGAAGCACAACTGTGACCTATCTGTTATCTCAAAATTTCTCACGCCAAATCCATGGTTAATTAACACAAGTGATGGCATTCCACTTGACCATCTCATGTTATGTAATCAAATAATTTTTTATGCCATATATTGTTACACTTATTATCCTGTACATACCTCAACCAATGCGCGGGTATTTTTGCCCCAACCAAAAAAAACTAACAAAATAAATTTCCAACAAGTGGCCCTCTGACTTCCAAAATACTTGCTGAATACTCGCCTGCTAGTGACGTGCTACCACAATCTCGTTGATTTAGGGCATGATTCTCATCTAAGAAGTCAAGTTTATGAAGAAGTACAGTAGCGGGTCTGGATGGTTCGCCGGGAATCCCCCCTCACCCTTAACCAACGTCTTAACTTCTTTCAAGTTTTGAATTCCCAAAGTATGCTGTGAAATAAGATATTTCTGTGCTTTGAAACCTAAAATATGCTTATATATGCTCTGAATGCGCCAAATGATGTTCAGTTTCGAAATTTTCTGGAACCTATTCTTGGGCTCGTTCGCTGCGCTCGCGCAACGTGGTTCGCTTCGCTCACAGCAACTATCAAGCGCCCTCTCCACTTAAAACAAAATCATGGACCTGCTCATTGAATTGTTCTTGTCATGTGAATATAACATTGTCATCTTTCTATGTCCAAAAAACTGGAATATATCAGCTATACATAATATATAAGCAGGAGTTCCCAGAAAATATGAAATGTACAGTATACAAAATTTTTTGATTATTTCGTATGATGATTACATCAATTCCATGTTTCTAGTTTTTAAAATTGATAAACGTTACATTATTAACTTGTAAATGTATAATGTACTAGACGGATAGATCAGCAATTTATATTTTACTATTTGCCGTGCGTCTCATAAAAGGGCGTTATATCATAGAAGTCACATGCAAAACACATGCCATGTCACTTTTTAATCAATAGTAGTATGTTGGCAGTAAAGTGACCACCTTGTGACATTATTTCACAGATGTGTCACACATGTCGTATTGACCGGTGGAAGAGCAATGTCACTCCCCGGTCAGCACGATCGACGGACATATGTCGGCGATGCTGATATGTTTTGTCAATAACTGCTGATACATTGCCAGCATACGTTCAGTTCAGCACATAGTCCTGTAAATCAACTCATGTGGGGTAGTATTAATTTGGCAGTATCCACTTTCCATATTTGAAATTTGGTAAATTGAAGCCTTTTGATTTCTTTGTTTGTTCTTTGTTATTATTTTTAGTATATTAGCATCCAAAACTCAACGATTCGTCAATCTTAATCGGTGCACATGAAATAACAGAGGGTACCTTCGATGGGAAGGATTCCTTGCTGTCCTTGAGTATAAAATATGGAAATATACGTTTAGCTGTGGCTATTTGCTTGCTAGTTTCAGTTGGAGATTGACTTTTGTAGTAGAGCAAGGGTAATGGTGTCCATAGTGGTAATATTTTATTTGTATTGTTAACGTTGCGCAACATATGTAATTAAGGCATATTCGATTATTTTAAAATATCACTAACAAAATGTCACAACCTACACCCCCAATCCGCACTCTGAAATCACGGTACCGTACAGTACCGTATACAGTACCGTACGGTACCGTTTGCACGGTACCGTACGGTACATTAAGAGTATGGTACCGTACGGTACCGTAGGAGTACGGTACCGTACGGTACCGTTGGATTACGGTACCGTACGGTACCGTACGATGCCGTACGGTACCGTTTCAGCTGTAATACTATACAGCACCATGTAAGCTAGACATTTTCATTTAATATTTTGAATATTTAATAAGCATTAAATTACTATAGTATTTCAATAATATTTTTACTCTATTCTGAATGAATCAACTCATTGATTAAGCTTGTGAAGTACCTTGAAAGATTTGAGAAAAACAAACATTTCATTAAGAATTTCCATACTCTATTGCTTTTATAAAATTAAAATTGTACAAAATATCTACATATTTAGAATAACTAAATATGTCTATTTATATTTACATTAAAATCTACAATGTTTAATATGGAGACGCTAACGCGTATAGTACATAGTCCAACTACTCGGGCCATATCAAAACCAATACAAACATACAGAAGGCAGGGAGAGGAAACAGGGTAGAACTTGTGAGGTAAAAAAATTGATGTAGCGGAGGTTTAAAATTAAAATAATGAAATAAATGTTCTTGCGAAAATGTACTGGTTTTGATATGCTCTGAGTAGTGGGAGATCTAGGCCTAGAGTGTCCTTGTTATGGTAGAGCAGGTGTCATGGGTGTAGCAGTGGGAGCAGCAGCAGCTGTCTCTTGAGTCCTAAATCGAGTGACCAGATGCTCTGACTTCAGTGCTGTATATCTGGAAATAGAACATAGATTAATTCATTTTATTTCATTGTCTTAATTTTAAAAAAATCTCCAAATTAAATAGTGGCCAATATCCCCGGGAATTTGACATATTTTGGGTTCTGTGCATTTCCGGTTATAAGAAATTGGCTGGTGCTGTTAGCCTAAAATAATTTTTTTTTATTCTTTTAAATTGTTCATCAACAACAATGAATGTTACTAATCTAGTATTAAACTGGGTAAGGCCGGAGTGTATACTGTATCCGGGACATTAAACAGGATTGATTTGCCAGAAGACTCTATTGGATTTCCGGTACATGCTTTTTAAGAACACGTTTTCAATTTCATTTTAAAAGATTTCTGTGTTTATATATCATATCAATATCTATTTCAAGTCACATATATTTTATACAGTAAACATTAGCGCAAGCGCTATTGACCGACATTATAAATTATAATTTTGCATCTACCCTGTCTCAAAGTCGAAATTATTTTATCATCTCTAGAAGTGATTTTCCTGGAGGTAATGCATTCGCCTAACATATGCACCTGTTTAAATCCCCAGGAAATGACCAAAATCAAACATATGACTGTCCAAAATCTGTTGCGCTAACTTCTCTCCCCCTTTATCTTTTGAACATTTTATTCAATGTACTGATTGGTTCCAAAAATAAAGCCATATTTTTGAGAACTTACTTTGTTTCTTGGACCTCCAATGGATGGGTATAAGGATCAGTCCTAAACGTTTCTTTGGCAAGCAATCTAATTGACTCCTGCAAAAACGAAAAATTAATGAGTTTTATATTTTATTATAGATAAATCATAAATGTATTTCATCTTGTAATACTGATAGCTTTTCTCGAGCTTGCACCAAACCTATATCAGTATACTAAATGAAATCAACGATTTTGCAAATTCATTTGAAAATACAAGGATTTCGAATTTCCCTTCTTTTAGATGACATTGGAATCAAAACAATTCAATATTACTGGTAGGCCTATACAATAACTACATTTATATGGTTTTAATTTTGAAATTAAAATATAGTCAATTTCTGTAAAATGCTCAATGGCACACTAATGTTAAACATCCTAAAATAATGGTGATATGCCAATATGGCACGATGATATGAAATGAAATAAACAAACATGGTGATATAACATAGGAGACATGCATGATGGAATGAACATGGTAATATAACATGGGAGCATGATGATATAAAATGAACATGGTGATATAACATTAGACCATGGTGATATGAAATGAACATGGTGATATAACATGGGAGCATGGTGATATGAAATGAACATGGTGATATAATAT